GGATCAGATTTGGTTTCCCCAGCTCCGGCTGTAGTCCTCTCTTTTCCAGTCTTCTCTGCCTGAGAGTAACCAGACTAGGGCACAAGACCTCCCAAATGGGTCAACTGGGGATAAACTGCCCCCATGGAACCATTCCTCCTCAGCCTCATGGGAGCAAGTTAGCTGGTGCACAGAACAATAGCTGGCTTTGTTTGTCGACTTTGGGCAACTCCTTAAGCACCCTGGACCTCACCCCCAACTGTGACGTGGAGTGGCAGCAGCGCTTCATTCTCCACAGACAATCCTTCTTGTCTGTTTGGCCTGAATCTCTCATGTCGCAGTGAGGATCCTTAACAGCACGTTGTAAAGGACCTTGCTGATGTGGCACCCATCTCACTGGGCCCAGTGGAACTGACCAACTAGAATGATGCTCCGGAGTGGTGAAAATGTGAAGCCAGAGTGTGCTGCAGACATACAGACAAGCATGTGTAAAGTAAATTAAGTTAAATAGGTAGCAGATTTAAACTAAACGAAAGGAAGTTTTTCTTCACATAGCGCACAGTCAAACTGTGGAACTCCTTGCCAGAGGATGTTGTGAAGACCAGGAATTTACACTGTTGCCCAATATTATCTAGGGCGATTTGGACTTTGACGTGATAAGTATGGAACACTACAGAGGTAAGGACTGATAATCTCGGTCTTATTAACACAAGTCCTGGTTCTAGGACGGGGGTGTGACGGCGCGTTGGGGGTCCCCCGTCTCCTGCACCCCGAAATGGCACAAACAGACTGCACCAGCCGGTGGAATAGAGGAAGTGTATTGCCTCTCCAGGATACAGCACAGCACAGATGTAATCTGGTCACAGAGCTGGGCGAGGATGCCTCAGGCCCCCTTGAGATGGGGGAGACGGGGCCCCTAAACTCCAGCCCCTTTCCCTAGCCTGTCTCCTCTTCCAGCCCTGCCCCCCAGTCAGGGCAGCATTCCACCTTCCTTTGTTCCTCTCCATGGGGGGTGTCTGGCCACTGGTTCAACAAGTTTGGCACTACCTTTGCATAGTGAGGTTTTCCCTGCTGGGTCTTGCTCCAGACAGCAGGGGTCACCACAGCCCAGCAAGTACCCCCACTACGTCACAGGGGGTTTGTTCAGGGAATGATGCACAATTGGGAAGCTTTATTTTGTCTTTAAGGACCTGGTTAATAATACTTAAATGAGGGCAAGTTAGCAACGGCCATTGTTTAACAGATGACAGCTATGCCTCAGGGGTTACCTTTGTCTGGGCTTTAAGTGGTAATTCCTAGAGGAAGTCAGTAGGTCTAACTTCAGTGACTTGATGTCAGTGTTTAGCTTCTTTTCTACAATATTCCATACAAACTTTAACTCAGAGGACTGTGATTCTTTGTCCTTGTTGTGTTCATGTTGTTACAATAAACAAAATAATTCTGTGTGAATGAGGGGCGGCCTAGACATACCGTTAGTTGGCCCTTGTGTGGGAAATGGCGTTGAGAGACTCCATCACATGACCGGCCCCTGTGATGGGAATGAGGCAGAGAGAGGGAGACCGTTGCTTGGTCCCTATGAGTACAACGTGGGACCGAGATACAGTCACCTGGCTGCCCCGAGGAGAAACCATGGAGAGCCAGACACAGTAAAAGTGCCCGACACTGACTCGGGAGCTGGGACAGTGATACCAACCGGTGCCCAGCCCCTACCAGGGATGTGGGGCTGAGAGGTGAACGTTCAGGAAACCTCCTTGAGAGAGGATGGTGGAGTGGGGAGGAGACTGACGTGGTCCCCTATCTAGTAGTTGGCCGTGTGATTCAGTGCTAAACTGCTGCACTCTTGAGTTATCCAGCGTCCTGCTGGAAACCCTTTTGTTGCCAGTCCCATTCTCCTCTACGCACAGTTCATGCACCTGCCCCTCTCCCCCCATTCTTTCTCCGAGGCCTCTGCCAAGTCCCAGTCAAAGTCTTCTTCCCAAAGCTCCTTCATGTATTGAGACCCCTCCTGCCCCTTTTCTAGGCCTTGGCTAGTGTCCCAAAGCAAGGGGCAGATGAGCTACTTAGACATGTTCCTGCTGGCCTGAGACCCTGGGAAAGATTCCGAGAGGGGGCATGGCAGGGGAGAGGGGCTGGTGTGAAAGGGCATGTGCAGGGGGCACATAGATTTTCCATGTGATTGATCAGGGGCCTGGCATTGTGCTTAAGGCTTCAGACCAGGGATCAGATTTGGTTTCCCCAGCTCCGGCTGTAGTCCTCTCTTTTCCAGTCTTCTCTGCCTGAGAGTAACCAGACTAGGGCACAAGACCTCCCAAATGGGTCAACTGGGGATAAACTGCCCCCATGGAACCATTCCTCCTCAGCCTCATGGGAGCAAGTTAGCTGGTGCACAGAACAATAGCTGGCTTTGTTTGTCGACTTTGGGCAACTCCTTAAGCACCCTGGACCTCACCCCCAACTGTGACGTGGAGTGGCAGCAGCGCTTCATTCTCCACAGACAATCCTTCTTGTCTGTTTGGCCTGAATCTCTCATGTCGCAGTGAGGATCCTTAACAGCACGTTGTAAAGGACCTTGCTGATGTGGCGCCCATCTCACTGGGCCCAGAGGAACTGACCAGCTAGAATGACACTCCGGAGTGGTGAAAATGTGAAGCCAGAGTGTGCTGCAGACATACAGACAAGCATGTGTAAAGTAAATTAAGTTAAATAGGTAGCAGATTTAAACTAAACGAAAGGAAGTTTTTCTTCACATAGCGCACAGTCAAACTGTGGAACTCCTTGCCAGAGGATGTTGTGAAGACCAGGAATTTATCAGGATCCAAAAAATTCCTTCCCAAAGCTCTTTGCTGTAGAGAGACCCCCCACCCACCCCTTTTCTAGGCCTTGGCTAGTGTCCCAAAGCAGAGGGCAGATGAGCTACTTAGACATGTTCCTGCTGGCCTGAGAACCAGGGAAAGATTCTGAGAGGGGGTGTGGCGGGATGAGAGGGGGCATGGCAGAGGAGAGGGGCTGCTGGCTGGTGTGAGAGGGCATATGTGGGGGCACATGGATTTTCCATGTGATTGATCAGGGGCCTGGTCTTGTGCTTAAGACTCCAGACCAGGGATCAGATTTGGGTTCCCCAGCTTTGGCTGTCGTCCTCTCTAAGGGTATGTCTACACTACCCTCCTAGTTCGAACTAGGAGGGTAATGTATGCATACTGCACTTGCTAATGAAGCCCGGGATTTGAATTTCCCGGGCTTCAGTAGCATAAGCGGGGAGCCGCCATTTTTAAATCCCCGCTGCTTCGAACCCCGTGGAGCGCGGCTACACGGGGCTCGAACTAGGTAGTTCGGACTAGGGTGCCTATTCCGAACTACCGGTACTCCTCGTGAAACAAGGTGTACCGGTAGTTCGGAATAGGCACCTAGTCCGAACTACCTAGTTCGAGCCCCGTGTAGCCGCGCTCCACGGGGTTCGAAGCAGCGGGGATTTAAAAATGGCGGCTCCCCGCTTATGCTACTGAAGCCCGGGAAATTCAAATCCCGGGCTTCATTAGCAAGTGCGGTATGCATACATTACCCCGCTAGTTCGAACTAGCGGGGTAGTGTAGACATACCCTAGTCTAGTCTGCCTGAGAGTAACCGGATTAGGGCACAAGACCTCCCGAATGGAGCAGGTTTAAAACTAATAAAAGAAAGTTCTTCTTCACACAGCGGGTAGTCAACCTGTGGAACTCCTTGCCAGAGGAGGCTGTGAAGGCTAGGACTATAATAGAGTTTAAAGAGAAGCTGGATAAATTCATGGAGGTTAGGTCCATAAAAGGCTATTAGCCAGGGGATAAAATGGTGTCCTTGGCCTCTGTTTGTCAGAGGCTGGAGAGGGATGGCAGGAGACAAATTGCTTGATCATTGTCTTCGGTCCAACCTCTCTGGGGCACCTGGTGCTGGCCACTGTGGGCAGACAGGATACTGGGCTAGATGGACCTTTGGTCTGACCCAGTACGGCCGTTCTTATGTTCTTATGTTCTTAACTGGGGATAAACTGCCCCAATGAAACTGTTCCTCTTTAGCCCCATAGTAGTGGTTAGCTGGTATGTGGAACAATAGCTGACTTTGTTCGTAGACCTTGGGCAACTCCTTGAGCACCCTGGACCTCACCCTCATGTGCGACACAGTGTGGCAGAAGCACATCGTTCCCCACAGCCAATTCTTCTCATCTGTTTGGACTGAATCTCTCATGTGGCAGTGTAGACCATTAACAGCACGTTGTAAAGGACCTTGCAGATGTGGCACTCGTCTCGCTGGGCCCGGTGGAACTGACAAGCTATAACGATGCTCTGGAGCGGTGAAAATGGGAAGCCAGAGTGTGATGCAGGCACAGAGACAAGCATGTTTAAAGTACATTCAATTAAATAGGTAGCAGATTTAAACAAACAAAAGGAAATATTTCTTCATACAGCACACAGTCAACCTGTGGAATTTCTTGCAATTCCCTAGTTATCTACTGCACTAGTGTAACGCCAAAAGGCAAATACTGCTAGACAATGGGGAACAGGATCTGTGTGGAGACCCTGGGTTGGAGCTAGGCCAGCTCAGTGGTAAAGTACAATCAGGAGGGTCTGAGAGGTTGAATGACAGGTGGGATAGGTACAACCAGCTGGGCACGAGAGAGCACAGGGGAAGTGTGTGGGGGGGTAAGCATGAAGGTGCCCAGTGTCCATCTGGTCTATTCAGATTGAAGATCATGGGACAGGGAAGGTCTCTAGCTGGGTATTGCCCAACATCTGTCAGGCTGAGACTCTGAGCTCACTGCGCCAAGTGGAAATGCTGAGCAAGAACAATGAAGATGGGAAGCCGGGCTTTCCTGCAAACCCAACAAGCATCTTTATTAGCCCTGCAGCCCAGCCAGGCTGAGGCGGGATCCACAGCGGGGGTGACTGCACAGACCCGACATGTGGGACTCTAGGCTCGTTTGAGGCCCAGGATGTGGAGCAATCTTTGGCGGATCCCCGGGGTTCTCACCCCATAGATGATGGGGTTCATCATGGGAGGAAAGAGCAGGTAAAATGGCCAAAGCGGTGGGAGAAGAAAGAGAAGAAGGCGGGGGTGTAGGATGTCATCATGATGAAGACGTGGGAGCTACAGGTGCTGAGGGATTTGGTCCGGGCCTCCTTGGAGGGCAGGTGGAAGACGGCCCGGAGGATAAGGATGTAGGACAGGATGATGAGGATAAAATCTAACCCTGCTGTTAGAAATGCCACAAGCAGACCATAGGTTCTCAGGCCTGCAGTATCCACACAAGACAGTTTCACAAGCACCATGAACTCACAGTAAGTGTGAGAAATGACGTTAGTTGTGCAATACGGAAGCTGCTTCAGCAGGGATGGGCCCAGTACAATCATCCCCCTCAGCACAACACCCAGCCCCATCTTGGCTATGGCCTGGTGGGTCAGGATGTCCGAGTGTCGCAGCGGGTTACAGATGGCGACGTAGCGATCGAAGGCCATGGCCAGCATGAACCCAGACTCCATGGTAGCAACTGAATGAACCAAAAACACCTGGGTCAGGCAAGCATCAATATGAATGGCCTGGTCCCTGAACCAGAAAATGCAGAGGGTTTTGGGCACGACGGTAGTTGAGATGAGCAGGTCGGCAAAGGCCAACATGGCGAGGAAAAGGTACATGGGCTCATGGAGGATCGGCTCGGATTTGATCACAGCCAGGAGGAGGCAGTTCCCTACGACAGACAGGATGTAGACGGAGACGAAGGGGATGGAGATCCAGACGTGGGCTTCCTCCAGCCCCGGGATGCCGAGGAGGATGAAGGTGGAGGGGTGGGGTGTGGTCCAGTTGGAAGCTGCCATGGTGAGGCCGGTTGGGTGTGTTCAATTTGTTGTCATGACTGCTTCCTGCCCCTGTAACCAACCATTACACAGTCATTAACCATCTGATGGGAACATGACAAGACGTACATCTATGCTGTGCTAAAACAGTAAGCTGCTCTTGAGTTCTCCAACACAGATGCTCCTCCCTGGTGACAGAGGTTTTAGCAGTAAGTATGGGCTCAGTAGTGGTATTTCTCTCTTCTCTCCTCTCAATTAATGCACTACACACAGCAGTAAGCCTTCTGAAAGGGACATAAGAGCATCCGCACGGCACTCTGAGACCTTGTATTCTTTGCAGGCAGGGCATGGAGAGAATTGGGCACACTGCTGCTAATTCCGGCATCTGTGTACTGCTGTTCTACCATCAAGTAACCACAGACTACCCCCAGGGTGATCCTGCTGCCGCACACCCATAGGGTGAGGGCCGCTCACGCACTTTGTAGAAGAGCCGATGCCCTGCACGTAGAGAGTGAATCAGGGGCCAGTGTCAATGCATCGAACTAAACCCACGTTCAGTGTCTGAGGCAGGAGCTGCCTGAGGACATTGTCATCACAATTACACCCAACATGGGTGGATTCAATGTTACGCTGACAATGACCCAGCAGCCAAATTCTGCCTCCAGCCCAATGCAGTCGGTGGCCGTTGGATCCAATGAGACTGAGGCAGCAGCCGTTTTGTGATGGTCTAAATATCAGACCTCCCATCCCACCCAGAATATACAGGGGACTCTGCCACAAGGAGGAGAATGGGGAAGCTTGTGGGGAAATTCCCACTCAATTCACGTGTCCCAGCCAAGCCCCACTAGGTCTCCCTGACCTTCTGTGCATTTACAGGGGAATGGAACCGTGAGTGTCCCCCCGGCTAATAACATTGGTGCAGACCTGCCGGCCAGACATGGCTTTCAGCCTGCCTCTCTCGCAGCTTCCCTGCCTTGTGACAGCCTGCAGGGTCGCCCCTCACCCATCTCGGCACTGTGCTTCTTCTGGGCTATTCTGTGGGGTGGGAAACAGAATGTGACCCCACCCACCTGCCAGAGTATACAGGGAACTCCGGCACAAGGAGGAGAGCTGGGAACTCTGCTGGGGATCCATGTAGGAAAGGAAAATTCACTCCTGAGTTTACATTTCCCGGCCAAGCCCCTCTGGTTATCCCTGCCCTTTAGTGCAGGAAAAAGGGAATAAAACTGTGAGTGTCCCGCGAGCTAACCATCTTTCCCACATACCTGCCGTCCGGATGTGTCTCCCTGTGTGCCCCTCTCTGAGCTTTCCTCGCTTATGACAACCTGCAGATTCCCCCTCCCCCTCCACAGCCACCTCAGCTCTGTGCTCTCGTGTGTGCTAGGAGCCATTCACAAGGGTCATTTCTGGGCTGCCAGGCCCTGCACTCACCCAGGTCCTGCGCAGCAGAGAGGGGCTGACGTGGGCAGCGGTCGGTGTCCGGTGCGGCTCTGTGCTGGGCCGGAGGAGAGCTGGGCGGGGAGGTTTATAGCCATCGCTGTGCAATCCCACCAGGGTTTGGGTCTCACCTAAGAAACTGCAGTGCTGCAGGGAGTGTGAAACAGACAAACAAACAGGCCCCTGTTTTTTCCCCTCTGCGCGTATAGTGCCCCGAGGGAGCTGGGGATTACAACATGCCAGGGACATGCAGAGACAACAGAGAAAACGCTCCTTGTTATCAAAGCAATTAAAAGCCAGGCAGCATTTGCTGAAGGTGATGAAATGTGGGAACCCATTCAAGTATTGCACCTTCCTGGAACCATTGATGGATCTGTATTCTAGAAGTCTAAATAATAAAATGGGTGAACTAGAGTCCCTAGTTTTAAGGGAGGATATTGATATAATAGGCAATGAGGACAATCAATGGGACACAGTTGTACCATGATACAAAATATATCAGAAGGACAGACCAGGCTGTGCTCATGGGGGAGTAGCACTATACGTGAAAAAAAATGTAGAATCAAATTAAGTAAAAATTTTAAATTTGTTCCACAGAATCTCTATGGATTGTAATTCCCTGCTCCAATAATAAGAATATAGCAGTAGGGATCTATTATCAACCACCTGATCAGGTCAGTGAAAGTGACCATGAAATGCTAAGGGAGATAGAGAGGCTATCAAAATAAAAAACTCAGTAAGTGGGGATGTCAACTATCCCCATATTGACTGGGTACACGTCACCTCAGGACGGGATGCGGAGATACAATTTCTTGATGTCTTAAATGACTGCTTCTTGGAGCAGCTGGTTCTAGAACCCACAAGGGGAGGGCTATTCTTGATTTAGTCCTAAGTGGAGCGCAGGATCTGGCTCAAGAGGTAAATAATCCTAAGCAAACCGCTAGGAAATAGTGACCACAATGTAATAAAATTTAACAACACTGTGGTGGGAACTCAACACTAGCATTTAATTTCAGAAAGGGAACCACACAAAAATGAGAACATAAGTTAAACAGCAATGAAAAGTTCATAGATCTCTACTGGTAAAGTCTCCTCGTGTCTGCACCATAGATATCTCCAGAGAGAAATGTTGCAAACAAGCACCTAAGTTTCTCGTTACAGAGAAGCTCGTTATAGAACTGTCTGCAGAGCTACCCAAGAGCTGGGACATCCTGGGTGTCTTTCTGTCATGGCTCAGGCCAGGGCATGGCACTGAGGTGGCATTTCTACATGAGCTGGTTTAGGAAGGGGAGCTCAGACACCGGATGGCAGCTGATGACATCACAGGTATTTCTTCAGAGCTGCTTGGACAATTGCTCATTTTCTGGACATGCTAGGCTATGACACAAAACCCTTTGCAAGTTCTCAACCTGCTTCCTGAATTGTAGCCCCCAGAACTGGGGACAGTATTCCACCAACGGCTCGCAGTAATGGCCCTACTGAGATGTCGAACCACGTCCCTACGTCTACTTCACATTCCCCTTCATGTGCATCTGAGGATTGTCTGGTTTTTTTAATGTAGTGTTGGCCAGGGAGCTCACATTCCTTTGGGTAGCTACCGTGCCTCCTCCGTCCTGCTCAGATTCACCCCTTGGCAGGACACCTTCTCCCATTTTACTAATGTCACCCACAGTCTTTGTTCCTGGATTGGGACCTCACATTTGTGTGAAAAAATATTTTCAAAGGGACCAACGTTACCGTTCCCACAGAAATGGACGAAGGAAAGTCCTGTGGCTTCGGACATGCACAAAACCTTCTGGCATTTTAATCTATGAGGCAGTGACCCAGGTTATTGACTCAGTTGTCCCCATCATTGTTTACCAAGCCACCATTTTTTGTTTGTGTTTTCTGAAAAATTTTCCAGCAATCAGCATTGGCCCATGGACGCATCACTTCACAAGACACATTCCCATTGGCTGATGCTTTCCAGTTTACAATTCCTTCTTGCAAAGTCTCAGTTAACCAGCTTGTAGCCCGTTTGATATGGCCCACATTGACTGTTATACTGCTTTTGAAAATCAGATTGCCATACCTGATTTACTCCAGTGCTTCAATGAATACGTATATTATTCAGCACAATTCACTTTGTTGAGGCAAATGTGTGATGTCATCAGAAAACACCATGAAAAGTAATGCTGGATGTTAATAATGCTGCTACCCTTCAATTCTGTACTGACCGTGTCCTGTATGGAAGTTTCCATAATTTTGTCTGGGATAAATGTCATTTCTATTGTTCCTGATATTCATAAGAAATCCTTGTTTTGCATTTATCCTTCTGGTCATGTATGTTAATGCATCAAAGTGTTATTTATTCCTCCACATAATTCAAGAGCTAGAGATCAGCCCTGGAAATTAAAGGGCAGCATGTTTAAAACAAACAAAGTAATATTTCTTCACAAAACACAGTCAGCCTACGGAACTCCTTGCCAGAGGATGTCTGTGAAGACCAAAACTGTATCAGGGTCCCAAAAAAGAAAAAGAAAACTAGATAAATTCATGGAGGAAGTGTCTATCAATGGCTATTAGTCAGAACAGGCAGGGATGGTGTCTGATTGTAAGAAGATCAGAATGGGTGATAGGAATGGATAACTTCGAGATCAGCCTTTCTGTTGATTCCCTGTGAAGCTCCTGGCATTGGATTCTAGATGGATCATAGATCTGACACTGTAACACCAAATTCATCATTACTATACATTTGGTGATTTTGATGCTTGTCGCTCTTCTCTGTCCCCTTTCCAATTTCTCCACATCTTTCTTGAAATGTGGTGCCCAGAACTGGACACAGTACTCCAGCTGAGGCCTAACTAGTGCAGAGTAGAGCGGCAGAATGACTTCACGAGTTTTGCTTACAACACACCTGTTGATACAACCTAGAATCATATTTGCTTTTTTTGCAACAGTATCACACTGTTGACTCATATTCAACTTGTGGTCCACTATGACCCCTATTCTGCCATGCTCCTTCCTAGACAGTCGCTTCCCATCTTGTATGTATGGAACTGATTGTTCCTTCCTAAGTGGAGCACTTTGCATTTCTCTTTATTAAACCTCATCCTGTTTACCTCTGACCATTTCTCTAACTTGCTAAAGTCATTTTGAATTATGTCCCTATCCTCCAAAGAAGTTGCAACCCCACCCAGTTTGGTGTCATCTGCAAACTTAGATGTATGGACATGAATATACATAACTCAAAGGTTGCTTTGAGCAAATTATTTCATATAACCCATCAATCTGCATGTCATGATCCGCTAGGTCTGTTTCTCTTACTTTATGTATAAAATTAGATATATGGGGTGGGGAATATTTTGTGGGTTTTAAATGTGTGAATGAGAAACATGGAGGGTGTTACCCTCAATGTCTTGAGGAGCAACTGTTAAGCAATCACGTTTGTCCTTAAGTCTGAGCAGTGGTTGGTTGGGAGGGAACTCAATTCTTTAAAAAAGAATAGGAAAGCAGGTGCCTTGGTCTTTTGGCTGGACTGCACCTGAAGGAAGAGGCCGAAGAACCCAGGATGGGGAGACAGGCCTGGTGTGGAGGGGCAGCTG